TTTTGTGTTGTGTTGTGTATAGCTTGAGACATGTACATGTACCCTCAAATAAATTACATGTAAATATAACATCAAAAATGGCCAAAATTGAAATGTTTGTTAATCAGTGAATAAATGCATTTTATAACTTGCATCTGGGTAGATCAAGAGAAATCAAGTTAAGTGCAGTTTCAGCATTTTTGATAGGATCGAGGCTAGCATTGTAGAGTATAATCTACTCGTACCAATGCTTTCAGTAAGACCAGGCATCTTCTAGAGCTCCAGTGGGTATTCTGTTGTGAATTGCCAGCTACAGGCTGCACGGTGGCAGTTTTCAAAACTTGGCCCTGTAGAGGAAGCTGTTTTAAAATAGGCCTCTCCAGTTGCTCTCTAAAGAGTGCTGTATCAGTGCAGCCATCATCTTGTGTATTTCTAATGTTATTGAAAGCACTCTGTTACATTGGTGTATCAGTAAGAAGCCTTCTGTTGAAATTGAAATGACACACAGTTGTTGACTTCACTGCTCTCTTTTAATCAACGGATAGTTGAGCCATGAATATTGATCTTGGTTTCAACAATGCCATTGTTTTTCTAGATTTATAAGAGGCTTTCAACACCGTCAATCACAATATTCTATTAACAAAATTGCAATTGTATGGAATACGCAGTTTCTGTCACAAATGGTTTGCAATCGCACTCAAACAAATTCCTCTATGTCTACTCCAAAATTAGTCAAATTATGCAGTGTCCTGCAAGGATCAATTCTAGGACCTTTACTTTTTCTATTATATATTAATGACCTGCCAGATTGTCTGTATTTTTCACAAACTAGAATGTACATGTATGCAGTTGACACCAGCATCACCTTCACTAGCGTAGATTTAAAACAGTGATGACTGTCTTAACTATGATTTGAACAGGGTATATAAATGGCTATCAAGCAATAAACTGACCTTGAATTTAACAAAAACTGAGTTCATGTTAGTTGCGTCGAGACAGAAGTTGTCAACATTTCCTGAAATTCCTTCTTTTAGTATAAATGACCACCCAGTGAAGCAGGTATCATCTATGAAATCTCTTAGTGTGCACATCAACCAAAATATAAATTGGGAATGTCATATACAGAACATTTGCAAAAAGATTGCTTCTGCATTGGGTGCAATCAAGCGAATGCGACATCTTATACCCTGTAATGTATTAATTAATGTATGTGATAGCCTAGTTCAACCATATTTTAATTACAGTAGTGTTGTCTGGGGCAACTGTGGCAGTGGTTTCTCTGAAAAGCTTCAGAAGCTCCAAAATCGTGCAGCCCGTATTTTAATATGTGTCAATTATGGTTCTAATGTCAATGAATTGTTCCGGGCACTAGGTTGGCGTAAACTCAAATATCAAAGATTTGAATCAGCTGCTGTTACGATGTACAAATCTCTACAAGGGGTGACCCCTGTGTTATGTTTGTGTTTCGAAACAATGCAACATCGTATCGATTAAAGAATACTGAAAATAAATTGGCTCTTCTGCAGCCCCGCACCAATTATTTGAAGAAGAGTTTCTCTTACAGCAGAGCCAGGTTGTGGAACAGCCTATCTAGTGACCTTCATGCAGCTGCATCTTTACCGTTTAGCGGTCGGTCGCGGCAAATGATATAACCATCAACACTGACCTCATTATTGGCAATAATATCATGTAATCAAGTTTCATTGATTGCCAACAAATCGAGGCATTTACTAAGCAAAATGATGCGAAGCTCATCAATATGTCTCAGAAGACAAGTGATGTTTAAGCAGGCCATTTTAAAGCCACGTTGTTAGGAATCAATGTTTGAGAATTTAAAGAAAAGCTATTACGAGGGGCATGAGAAGAGGGGTTCAAAGGAGACACATTAAGATCTGTGCAAGTTGCTTGTCACGGGTTTTTTATATGAGAAACAAGATATTTAACTAATAGCTTTTTACCTTGCATGTTCAAATGCAGTCCACTAGCGTTGAGATGCTCTCTCTTGATGTTAGAGTGAGAGATCATTCTCCATACATATTTTGTTGACGTGCATTTGTATTAATAGCTTTTGATTTCTTTTTCTTTTTCTTTCAATTGCTAACCTCAGTCCATTCATTTTCTCTGGTAGTACAATCACTAGTTATAGTGGGTATAAGGGTATAAGGGTATAAGGGTACAAGGGGTATAAAGGTATAATGGGTAAAAGGGTATAAGGGGTATAAGAAGTATAAGGGTATAAGGGGTATAAGGGTATAATGGGTAAAAGGGTATAAGGGGTGTAAGAATTATAAGGAGTATAAGGGTATAACAGGTATAAGAGGTAGAAGGGTATAAGGGGTAAAAGGGTGTAAGGGTATAAGGGTATAAGGGTAAGAGGGTATAAGGGTATAACAGGTATAAGGGTTACAAGAGTAAAAGGGGTATAAGGGTATAAGGAGTATAACAGGTATAAGGGGTAGAAGGGTATAAGGCTTAAGGGTATAAGGGGAATAAGGGGCGTAAGGGTATAAATGGTACAAGGGGTGTAAGGGTGTAAGGGTATAAGGTATAAGGGTATAGAT